TTCTTTTTGTAAATTGTTTGTCATCATCAAAAAGGGGGAGATTGTTGGCCTTCTTGTTTTGATGATGTTTAACAAACAATTTACAACTAATGTTGTTTGTCTAGTGCTTGTGTTATCTATTTATTGTAGACAAACAACGTGGAGGTTGGATGGATTGAGCCTACACGATCATATCAAGAGGAGGTTGGCGGAATTGTGGAGTGAAGCATCGTACAATTCAAGTTCAAGATCCAAGTTTAGCTTCATCCGCAACGTGTACCAAGTTGAGCTCAATGAAGATCAAGATCAAGCTTGGGTAATTTAGTTTAGGATTATATTATGTGTGTTAGATACTCTAAGCTCAATATAATATACACACACATTTTATTGGTTTCTTCGTATATATATATAGTTATATATATACATACATGTGTTTTGAGTTTTTATGATTATATATATGAAATTATATATTTCATATTTTCTATCGTGTTTTTGAAAACATTGCATAGAATATGCAATTTTGTGAAAATATTATATTCTTAGTTTGTAGACTTCAATATCAGTTTATACATGTTTTACTAAGTCCATAAAAACATTTCACAAAGTTTCAAAAGTTGGTTTATGTCAAAACATCAAAATTCAAGTATCTCATATTTTCATGTTTTGGACTATTTTGCAAAATGATGATTTTTCACATTTGGGAAGTCCTTTTTGGAAACCAGTCATTGTAGCATGTTTATTATCATGTCTACAATCATTCCCCAAAGTTTTACATTTTTTGGAATTTATTTGATATTTTTAAACAGAGTTTTAAAATCAGAAAAACAGTTTTTCAAACCTGTTTCATATGTCAGTTTGCGGTCGACCGCCACGGTCGACCATGATATTTTTCATTTGGGAGGTCCTTTCTGATAACCAGTCACTGTAGCATGTTTATTATCATGTCTACAATCATTTTCTAAAGTTTTACATTTTTTTAGAATTTGTTTGATATTTTTAAACAGTGTTTTAAAATCAGCAAACAGTTTTCTAAATCAGATTTTTATATATCAGTATGCGGTCGACCGCACCGGTCGACCGCACATGTGATCATTCGTCAGTGGGCAGCAGAGAGTTTGTCGGTCGACCGGTCCGGTCGACCGAGAGCTCCATCGGTCGACCGCAGGAATTTCCGGTCGACGGCCAATGTATCCGTTGGTCCCCAACGGCTATTTTTCTGAGCTGATTTTCTGGGGCTGTTTTTGTCTTTTGCTTGGGGTTGTTGGCTGAGGTTTTGGAGGTTATAAATACCCTCCTTGATCTTAGTTATCTAGAAGCTAAGAAGTTTTTAAAAGAAGTTTTTAAACAAGGGTTTAAGCTTGTTTAGTTTTGGTTTAAGTTTGTTTTGGGTTTGCTGTTACAAAGAGGAGTTTTCATCAGCTATTGAAGAGTTCATCTTCAACATTTCATCATCCTCTCTTTGTGTTTTTAGAGAAGTTTCCTTAACTCTATTTCCTAGCATTTCTACTATTGTATTTCATATCAATATTATTGCTAGTTCTTATTGAGTTAAGTTTTCATTTATATCTCATTGTTACACACATCCACTTGAGCTTATTGTATTTGCATACATAGTATATTAGGGTTGTGAGAGATTATAACATTAAGTTGTGCTTAATTGAGTTCTCATCTATTGTAGAGAACAAATTTATATTTGTTACATTGAGAGTTGTGTAAGGTTTTCGGTGAGCTAGAAAACCGAGTGTGCTGTGAAGTTTTCGGTGAACTAGAAAACCGATTGTGAGGAGTGACGTTGATCGGTAAGCGTTGAAAACCGACATTGTGAGGTGTAAACGTTATTCGGGTGAGCGTAGAAAACCCGGTTGTGATAGTGGATTTCTCCCCGGGAGTGGGGAGCGGAGACGTAGGACGGAAGGTCCGAACTCCGTGATCATATCTTGTGTTTGAGTGTGCTTTGGCGTTTATTTATACTTGTGTTTATATTTCTTATCGCCATTGTCATTAGCTCATTATTTATATGATCCACTATCTAGTTTATATTGTTTACCCCTTGTGTTAGTTTTATATCCTTGCATATACATATATCATATTGTATATCTCTTTGATAGGATATATCATCTTGTGTTAGGTTATATATCCTATTGTTCATATTGCTTATCCTAGCTTATATAGTTGTTATGTTTCATACTTGCTAGGATAACTTGTTAATTAGTTTTTATTGGCATATAATCGGATTAGATTAGCATAAGACCCTAATCACCCCCCCTCTAGGGTCTAACAATCAAACCTAAACTAAATATACCCAAGCTTGATAGATCTTCGATGAGCTTGACTTGGTACACTTTGCGGATAGAGCTTGAACTTGAATCTTTAACTTTGAATTACGTAGGCTTCACTCCATAATTCCGCCAACCTCCATTGTATATGATCGTGAATGTGCAATTCCATCCATCCTCCAACATGTTGTTTGTCTATAATAAATAGATAAACACAAACACTAGACAAATAACATTAGTGATAAATTGTTTGTTAAACATTATCAAAATAAAGAGGTCAACACTAATATGCTTTTATAGCCTCTAAAAATTAAAAGAATTGTTTAAGAAGATGAGCTCACCATTTTTTGGGTCGTTGGAGAAGATGAGTTGTGAAATGAATTCAGATTGAGCCTTTTATTTAGTTTCTTAAGCTTAATGGGTACAAATGTTTTGGGTATTAGGAGTGAGGGCATAATTATTAATTTTCTTAAAAGCGTTAAACATAATAGAATATTACACATCATTTATAATACAAATTAACTATAGAAACTCATATCAACATATTTATGCACTTTGAGGGGCTAACATCAAAATATAAAGATTTGAGGGACTAATAGCAAAATACTAGTGATATAAGGGACTGATTAAAAAAACACACATGCATGTGTGTGTATTTGTGTGTATGCGACGATTAAAACAATACGAGATGATGACTACAACAAATATAGTGACATGACTACCATATCCACTTTCCAAACGGATACGACTACGGCCGGTCCGGATTAATCTGGACCATTTTGCACCCCTAATGTTTAGCTACCTCTCTCTCTCAATGGAGGAGTTCTAATATGCTTTTATAGCCTCTAAAAATTAAAAGAATTGTTTAAAAAGATGAGCTCACCATTTTTTTGGGTCGTTGGAGAAGATGAGTTATGAAATGAATTCGGATTGAGCCTTTTATTTAGTTTCTTGAGCTTAATAGGTACGAATGTTTTGGGTATTAGGAGTGAGGGCATAATTATTAATTTTCTTTAAAACGTTAAACATAACAAAATATTCCCCATTATCTATAATACCAATTAACTATAGGAACTCATATCAACATATTTATGAACTTTGAGGGGCTAACATCAAAATATGAAGATTTGAGGGTCTAATAGCAAAATACTAGGGATATAAGGGACTGATAAAAAACCCACTTGCATGTCTGTGTGAGTTTGCGTGTATGCGACAATTAAAACAATACGAGATGATGACTACAATAAATATATTGATACGACTACCATATCCGCTTTCCTAACGGATACGACTACGGCCGGTCAGGATAAATCCAGACCATTTTGCACCCCTAATGTTTAGCTACCTCTCTCTCAATGGAGGAGTTCTAATATGCTTTTATAGCCTCTAAAAATTAAAAGAATTGTTTAAGAAGATGAGCTTACCATTTTTTTGGGTTGTTGGAGAAGATGAGTTGTGAAATGAATTCGGATTGAGCCTTTTATTTAGTTTCTTGAGCTTAATGGGTACGGATGTTTTGGGTATTAGGAGTGAGGGCATAATTATTAATTTTCTTTAAAACGTTAAACATAACAGAATATTCCCCATTATTTATAGTACCAATTAACTATAGGAACTCATATCAACATATTTATGAACTTTGAGGGGCTAACATCAAAATATGAAGATTTGAGGGACTAATAGCAAAATACTAGTGATATAAGGGACTAATAAAAAAACCCACATGCATGACTGTGTGTGTTTGCGTGTATGCGACAATTAAAACAATACGAGATGATGACTACAATAAATATATTGATATGGCTACCATATCCTATTGATACGACTACCATATCCGCTTTCAAAACGAATACGACTATGGTCGGTCCGGATAAATCCGGACCATTTTGCACCCCTAATGTTTAGCTACCTCTCTCTCTTAATGGAGGAGTTCTAATATGCTTTTATAGCCTCTAAAAATTAAAAGAATTGTTAAGAAGATGAGGTCACCATTTTTTTGGGTCGTTGGAGAAGATGAGTTGTGAAATGAAATCAGATTGAGCCTTTTATTTAGTTTCTTAAGCTTAATGGGTACAGATGTTTTGGGTATTAGGAGTGAGGGCATAATTATTAATTTTCTTAAAAGCGTTAAACATAATAGAATATTACACATCATTTATAATACAAATTAACTATAGAAACTCATATCAACATATTTATGCACTTTTTGATGGACTAATAGCAAAATACTAATGATGTTAGGGACTGATAAAAAAACCCACATGCATGTCTGTGTGTGTTTGCGTGTATGCGACAATTAAAACAATACTAGATGATGACTATAATAACAACTAGGAATTTATCAACCGATCATCAACCCTGATTACTGTAGACTATTTCTGCTCATTTTATTTTTAAATTTATGTATTCTTATATGTGAACACTCAAAAATTCTTCATAATACTTTCTGTTATTTTTTTTTTGTTTTGATTAAGGTTCTCATTTTTTATGTTCATAAAATAAATTAAAACAATAAAACAATTATTTCTACAATAAAGTTATAGCAAACATATAAACTCAGTAGAAACAAATATAATATTTAACCGCGTGCAACACAACTAGTAAGTCTAGGTGCATTTAAAACTATACTAAATGGGTATTCGGGCGGTCTCTATTCACCTATTTGCCCGCCCATATTCCTAATAGAAATGTTAGGGGCACACCCCAAACCACACCTCCAACCACACCTCCCCTCTCATTCCAGTCCCTCCTCCTCCGCCGCCTCCTCCGCCTCAACCGCCTCTCGAACCCAGAGCCTCCGACGCCGCCTCCGCCCCGGCATCACCTCTTCCGCTGAAGTCACCGCTGAAGTCGCCGCCACTTCCTGCGATAACAATCTTTCTCTCAGGTAAATCCCAATCTCAAATCTTTCGATAAAATTCAGTCAAAATTTTCTATCTAAATTCTAAATGCACATATCGTAATCTCGGATCTAGGTTTTCCCCTAAAAATTTGACCGTTCCTTTGATGTGAAATTTCCCGTGTTCATCTGTGCATAAGTTTTTTTTTTGCGTTTTTTAAAATATATTTGTTATTTTGTTTCTTAATTTACTACAATATAGTGTATGCTTTTTTGGGTCTAATCTAAGGGATTAGAATGCAAATTTTCTTGTTTATTTCTGTATTCCCAGAATTTCCAAAATATGATTGTACCTGATATTTATTATTGTGATAACTTTATGTTGGGTTTGGGTTAAACAAGGTCCAAATTAGGCTATTTTGTTGATTGAACTATAAAACGCTGAAGGGGTTTTCCCCCTAAATAAAAAATAGAAAAATGCTGAAAGGTTGACCTCACTAGTATTCTGAGATTCTCTGAAGTATATGAGGATAAATAAACCAGCAGATGAATAATCATGATTTGGCTCAATAAGTGGCATGAGAATGTTACATGTTGATTGTTTTTTCATTTCTCAATAAGTGGCATGAGAATGTTATCATGATTTGGCTCAATAAACCAGCAGATTGTTTTTTCATTTCTTAATATATATAGAAAAATTCAACATCAACTTGATTAAAGTGGAATATAAATTGACTCAACATGAAAATAGATCTATATATGTATTAAGAAGTGACAACACTTGCTACTAAGTCAAGAAAAATATAGAGAAATGCTTGCCAGAGTAATTGCATTGCATGGTTATCCATTCACTTTTGTCGAACATCGAGGAAATCGTGAGTTGCATTTTTTTTAAATTCTGAAGTCAATTGATTTGTTTGGGAAAAACCTAAAGCTCAACTTTGTGCGCTTCTTCTAATTGAGAAATTTTTTATTTTGTCAAAACCATGAGCAGATTGAGCTGGAGCAGTACCCAACTCGACCACACATCACCTCAAGAGTGATTTTTACGGTATTTTTTCAGTGTTATGTTTACAAATATTTATTATCCGAACTGCTTCATGAAGTTTGCATTTGATACTTCTTGTTGGTCACCGATATATTGTTGCCTTGTTGTTAGTTTAGAAAACTTTCCAAAGTAATTCTATCAGACTCATGATGCCCATGCGAATTTTGCCTACCGGCAAAATATAAATATTGGGCATGACCCGCTTGTGCACTAGAATCTTTTTCCATTTTGAAGCTATGCAATTTGACTTGTTTTATGAGAATAATGGAGGGGCTCTCCTTTATGAATATATGAATATGATAGACTGAAATGAGACCAGGCAATTTACGAGGAGCAAGAAACTATAAAGTTCATGTTTTTCGTTCTTTCGCTCATATATTGGTAGGGGATTTGTGTTGTTTCTCTTTGCCATATAATAGTCAGTTGATAAAGAAGTCATAGCTTTAGTACATAGGATTTATTATATAGTGGTAGCTTGAATTTTTTTCATATTTTAATTTTTAAAATAAGTTCTTAAAATTACTATTCTAATTCATATAATAGTTAATTGCAAATCGAACCCCTGTAGTATCGTGAATAAGTCCATTGTAGTTATATCCTTGCGAATAGACCCATTGAGTGAATTGTTTTGACTCTTAAATTGTAAAAAAGATTTGAGGAGGCGTGTTCCTATAGCTAAGTCAAAAGGTTTCACTAACGTGTGTATTTACACCTTTGCCAATACGAAAAAAGGTTTGTTTGCCACGAACAAAACTATAGTGAGTCTATTTGCAATTGGATAGTACTACATGGGGCTTATTCACAATTAACCTTTATATAAAAATTTTATTTTTTAAACTTCTTATTATATTTCTTCCGAACCATGAAATATTTATCATGAAGAGTATTTCGAAGCAACTTATGTGAATTAAGAGATAATAACATTTCAGTGATTTGGGATACAAACTTAGTAATTATATATAATTAGTGTACAAAACAAACTAGGGTTGAATATTGGTAGCAAATGCCAAAGCTATTAATAAAAGAATAACAATTGATCAAAGAGACAAATATATATACTTTTTGTAAAAAGAATTAGAGTAGACTAGATAAAGCTCATAAAGTACCCACCTTGTTTCAGCAAGTGAACAATTAAGTGAGAGTAAAGACATATAGTA